CTTATTTTACAAATGAACAAATTGAGGCATATATATGCTTAATTGCATGCTGCCCAAGGTAAAATATTAAGTGACATTATTAGAAATTAAGAATTCTCAAAATTTCTAACTAAAGTATTAAAAGTACAATTTTTATTCAGTCTGACTACCCTATAATTCTCTCTAGTATTTTCTGGTAAAAACTGATATTTTTACCATTAGAAGGATTGGAAAATTACTGGGTGTTTTCTTTTATTTGTAAGTGTCTTTCTTTAACATAAAATGTTTTTATTAGCTTCAGGTGTACAATATAGTAATTCAACAATTCCATATATCACCCAGTGCTCATCACAATAAGTGCACTCCTATAAGTAGTCTTTAAAATGCTTTTTAAAGTTTTGACATAGAGCAAATAAAATAATAGGAGAAAGAGGGCTCTTGAGGTCAAGTTCCTTGGAGAACAGTTTTAAAAAAAATGCGAAGATATTGGAAACATTTATCAATCCTAGCTTTTAGAGTTCTTGTGTGCTCTTGAATCATCAATATATCACTAGATAAGCTTCTGACATTTTACAAAATAGAAGTGAGACAGGGATAGTGAGCGACTGAAAATAACTCACTGTTAACGTTTAAGAAATTATTTTTCATATATTTTATGCTCCAATAAAACAAGAATGATATTTACATTTTAAGTTAGCTCTCCATCTAACCATCCTTGATTAGTCATATTATTTTAATCACATATGAGATATAACTAAATTAGTTGAATAACTATCCCCATCTTCATTGCCTGCCTTGTGAAAAATTTATTAGCTTTTTATTTTTTTAAAGATTTTATTTACTGAGAGACAGAGAGAGACATAGCAAGAGAGGGAACACAAGTAGGGGAAGTGGGAGCGGAAGAAGCTGGCCTCCCGCCGATCAGGGAGCCCGATGCGGGGCTCGATGCGGGGCTCGATGCGGGGCTCGATGCGGGGCTCGATCCCAGGATCCTGGGATCATGACCTGAGCCGAAGACAGACGCTTAACGACTGAGCCACCCAGGCGCCCCCTTATTAGCTTTTTAAAATCAGAACCTGACTGTCAGTAAATTATACACTAATACAAAGTTAAATACTATACATCTTTTTTGGGAGAAACCAGGAAGAATTTTTCGGCATTTAGTGAAATGGTTTAATCAAATGTCTTTTTCTGTGAATATATTTTTTCAATAATAATTTGATTTAGAGAATAGTAAAAAGTACTTTCAAATATCCTACTCCTTCATCCCAAAACTAAAACTGCTAAACATGAGTGCATTGTCAAATTTACACATTTCTTGAACAGGCATCATTTATTCAATACATGTTGGTTAAACACCTTTGTTGTGTGTGTTTGTTAAATATTTTCTTTGTGCCAGCCACTGTTCTAAATGTTGGAAAAACAGGAATGGAAAAAAAAACAAACAGATCCCAGATTTTGTGAAGTTGGCATACCAGGAGTATGCCAAATAATAAACAAAATGAAAAGGAAAAATAAACAGTATGTTAGATGGTATTAAGTAGCAGTAAAGAAATAGAACAGGAAAAGGTAATAGAGAATATTGGCATATTTTACAATTAAAAAAAAAAGTAGTTAACAAAAGCCCCCAAAGAAAAAGTGACAATTAAGTAGACCTAAATAAGACACTGACTAATTTTATGTAGGAAATGATATTACCTGACATGGTATAATAGGCTAGTCCTGGTTGCTATGTAAGGAATATACTGAAATTGCTAAGAACAGAAGTAGAGGAAAGATTTAAGAGTGCTAGCAGTAGAGGTGGTGAAAATTTGTCAGTTTGGATATATTTGAAAGTATCACTGAAAAGATGGATTAGATGTGGGGTGTGAGATTAAGATATGAGTTATGATGTCTCTAAGTGTTTGGCTTGAGGTATTTGAAGGATGTAGTTGCCACTTATTGACTTGGGAAACTGTGATAAAATCTGGGGGTGAGACCAAGTGCTCAGTTTTAGATATACTAAGTTTGAGATGCCTAGTAAACATCCATATAGATGGATAGGTAGTACATAAATAGAAACATAGATAGATGCATAGGTAAATACATACACAGATACATACATAGATGTATATATACATGTATAGATGAATTTTCAGTTCAGGAGAAAAGGAGAAGCTATAAGTCATCAATAGATAATATTCAAAGCTATGGGACACAATGAGTATAGATGGGGAGAAGTTCTGATGACCGAGTTAATGACAATCCATACCTACTTAAATCAGATGATGAAGCAGCAGCAAGAGAAAAGGGAGAAGCAATGGAGTAAGTTTTTAAAATATGTGTCTATTATCCTGAAACACACATCGCGAAAGTTTTTTAAGAAGGAGGACATGCTTATCCAGCAAATGTTGCTGTACACTAAAATGAAGTGGGAGGATTGACCTTTGGATTTAGCGAGGAATTTACCACTGCCTCACTGGTGATCTTGGCAAGTTCAAACTCTGAGAAGTTAAGGAGGTAAATGCTTGAATGGAGTAGGTTTAGGATAGAATGAGAAGAGGAAATGTGGATAGACAATATGAACAGGATGAAAGTAATCAGAGAAATGGGGCAGAAGCTGGAGAAGACAGTGAAGGCAAGAGGTTTTGGTTTGTTTATTTAGAGTGTGTGTGTGTGTGTGTGTGTGTGTGTGTGTGTGTGTATGACATTAAGTAAAAGAACATGATTCAGTACATCTTCTTTAACCCCAGGAATTCTCTCAATGCTTTGTTTCATGAATATCTTTAGTAAATACCTTGTCCATTTTGAAATTTAAATTATAGTATCTAGATAACAAACTAAATTTCTACTAGAGGTCAGCATGTATTACTAAAATACATACATTCCAGGGAATGTATTACGGCGACATAAATGAGGGGTTCTGCCTTGTTCAATTCTTGGTAGTCTTTGGTCATCCACCATGAATCATGTGGCTTTTTTATTGGCCACACCAGGCCACGGAAAACACTGTAGGTGAGGCATGAAATATCCACTTGGTACAATTTTTGGATATTTTCTCCTATTTCTTTATGCTCTCCAGTCAATTCATATTGTTTGAAAGTTACCACTCTTCAGGGTGCCTGGGTGGCTCATTGTTAAGTGTCTGCCTTCGGCTCGGGTCATGATCCCAGGGTCCTGGGATCGAGCCCTGCATCGGGTTCCCTGCTCAGCAGGAAGCCTGCTTTTCACTCTCCCACTCCCTCTGCTTGTGTTCCCTCTCTCGCTGTGTCTCCCTCTGTCAAATAAATAAATAAAATCTTAAAAAAATCAAATCATAAATATTAAAAATAAAATAAAATACATATGTTCTACTCAAGGCATTTGAATATTTGAATATGTATATCTAACCTAAACATTATAACAATTCATGTCAATGGATAATTATCAAGAAGTCAAATTTAAACTCTGTGCCAGGATCACAAAGCTCATCACTTATTTTTTTCTTGAATATTTATGCACATTAATTCTATCTCTCCAAATGATTATTAAAACTAAGAAAAATATAACATCCCTATTGTGTGCAAGGCACCATGCTAAGCATGTTACATATGTTATTCCTACTTTTCAGTCTAAGCTTACAAAATAGATTTTATTAACCTATTTTCTAAATAAGGTGGTGGTGATCAGCAATCCAGCAAGTTGCCTGAGCCTTGATAAATATGATTGATGAAGCAGGGATTCAGTCCAGATATACTTAGTTCCAAAGTACACGACCTTTAACTTTTACTACTTTATAAGACAGTACTTACTGAAAGACAGGGACTCAGTCTTATTCCTGTATGATATAAAAAAATCCAAAAACTTTATTGGGATACTAAAATAGAAGGAAATTAGAACATGCATGAAATTCATAAGCTAAAATTCTGTTACTAGTAATACATATTCATCATTTATATATGATTCTAGTATAGAAAAAAATGTGACTTGGAATTGCATAGACATAGTTTTGAATCTCTTGCATTCCACTTACGGCCTGTATGAACTTGTTAAAGTTCTCTGTCTTTTATTTCCATCTGTAAATAAAAGTTAGTGTCACCCAACTAATAGGTTGGTTATAGTGTTATGATTACTAAGTAAGAAAGTACATATGATCTTCTGCAATTAAAAGCAGTAAACAGTTTTGTCTCTTTCCCCATTATCCAAAATCATAGGTATATTTAAATGAAATCAGTGATTGAATTTTATTTTTAGAACAATAGCAAAAAACTTATTTAACGTGTCTTTATAGCAAAATAAATGAAGACATATTATTTTTAAAAATATCGATCTTTCACAAATTCAATTACTAGTGACTTTTCAAACTTATGAAAAACTGAAAATGTTTTAAATATTAAATACACATATGTATATCCATGATATACGCATATATTTATGTGTTAATTTTCTAACCTAGGAAGTATGTATTTTATCCTTCCTGAGTGAAACATCTGTGATATGAATATAAAAATGTAACATATTCAGCAAGACTGATTTTTAGTAACTTAAACATGGTAATTTTGAAATAAGTAAACTTTTCATAAAAAGTGAGATGTTCATTTTTCAAGACAATTAACTCTAAATAATTTTTAAATGACTAGACTTTATCATATATGCTAGACATTTTTTAGTAAATTTAGCACCTTTTGCTTGCTATTTTCTATGAACACTAATAAAACTCTATGATAATTTGAATATGTAATGAAGCACATGGAGAGAAAAACCTAGAGAAATTTTGTTACATAGTCTGAGAAGTTGAGCACTGGAAATTTTACCTCTGGACATTGGTCAACGTTAACAAAAAAAAGCAGAACCTAGTAATTATTAGCTACCATTTAAACTGACTATGAAAGACACAATAAATATCTTCCACTGAAACAATATATGAAGTATCTATCTTACTATTCATAAAACTAACATTAAAAGCCAAGAATATATTTTGATACAACCTTGTAAGCATTAAATCGAGTAATCAATAATCTTTGGGGCAGGTAAAAGAAATTTAATGAATGAATATAACTTACCTTATCCACAATACATATTTGCTTTCTTGTTTGAGCATCAAGTATTTCAATCTCAAAGTGCGCAGTTTTTGAATGTTTAACTACTGGAGCTGATTTTAGAGGGCCTGCTGAGAGCACAAGTTGCGACAAACAATGAAAGTTTCTCAACTCATTCTTCAGCATGGACCGTGTAACTCCTCGGGAAAATATTTCTCTCTTGCGATCCGAAGCAAGGGACTTGTGCCTTTTGAACATTGTGTGAACTAGCAGGAGAATCTGTCATGTCAACAGAAGACACTTGCAAGTATGTTGCCTTGCACCAGTTTAAATACTGCTGGTGAACCCGGAAAAGGTCAAGTGCCATGCCTTTCCAAGAGTTGTTTTATTTAGCAGGCTTGAAAACAATGACTGATCTATTTCTATATATAACACGCTATTGTAAATTGCAGCAGTGTAGAGGATTACTTTACCAGCATCCCAATTATTTCTTGCTTTCCCCTTTTATCTCTGCTTCTTAATATGGTCACTAATATCTGAAATTCCAAAGCACGAAAAGAGTAGAAAGAGTTTTTATTATCTTTAAATTCTGTATGCACTAATCTTCAAGTACATATGTTATTATTCACACATTCACATTTAGATGTATTTAAAATTAGCATAGAGCTATCTTATAGATAAATTTAAAAACACCTAGTGCATTATTACATAACAAAAATTTTTATAAATCCTGCCTAAGATAAAGATTTGTGGCATGTTTTAAATACATATAAATAAATGTAAATGTATAAACAAATATATATTTAATATATAAATATAAAACATGCTACATATAATATAATGTAATATAAATAATATGTATTATATATACAAATGTGTATATATGATACAAATGGATGAATTCTTCACTTTGTACAGGGAATAGAAAGATGGCAAGTCATCCACGAGATTGGAATATGTAGAAAGCCATTCTATAACTTAAGGAAAAATAAGTAAATTTCATTTTAACATTTCTACACATTATATTTATTGGAAAATCTTTGAATTTATATACGAAATTAGAACTAACCACCACATTTACCACAACACTAAACTATGGCAAATTGAAATAATCGCAAAATTAATAGTGAAAAATGTTAACCTGTAAAAAAGACTCCAAGTACTCAGATACAGGTATATCTGGTAAAGAAACAACTGAGGGATGCCTGGGTGGCTCAATCAGTTAAGCGTCGGCCTTCGGCTCAGGGGATGGAGTGCCACATTGGGCTCTTTGCTCAGCAGGGAGCCTGCTTCTTCCTTGTCCTGCTGCTCCCCCTGCTTGTGCTCTCTCTCTCTCTCTTTCAAATAAATAAATAAAATCTTAAAAAGAAAAAAAAGAAACAGCTGAAAACTATCCAAAACATATTATCATTGATTCAAAGGGATATTACAGGAAAGTATTCTGAGATGTCATTTTTAATGATGACATGAAAAGCAAAACGGTTAAAATTATATAGGGGTGTGGGGCACCTGGGTGGCTCAGTCCATTAAGCAACTGAGTTGAGCTCAGCTCAGGTCCTGATCTCAGGGTGGTGAGTTCAAACCCCATATTGTGGAGCCCACTTAAAATAATAATAATAATTATAGAGGGGTGAATCTATATATCTATATGAGGCTAAAATTTACTTTTATAATTAAAAAACTAATGTATTGATTTTTAATTTTGACCAAACATTATGCAATAGAGATCCATTTACATTGTTCAGTTATCATTTCATCCTCTAGACAACCATTGTACTCAATATTTAATCTTTTGAAAACATAGAAGACAGGAATATATATGTCTATGTATGTGTGCATTTGTGTGTGCATGTATTTACACACACACACACACACACGTGTTGTGCAATTTCATCACCCCAGTTGTACAGGATTCCAAACTCACAAAATGAATCATCCTTAATATCTCCCTTTCTCTGACACCTCAGTTCTAATCCCTCAGAAATCCAGAACACAGTCTTCTCACCACCCCATGCTACCTTCAAAACATCAATCTCATCTGTATTGCTTTTCCAAACTAGTCCCCTGTGTCAATACTGGTCAATCTAGTATCATTTTAATACAGCAGCTAGAGTGATCAGAGTCCTTGCTAAAGCAGATAATGCAATAATCTGCTCAGCACACGGCAGACGCTTCCTATTTTATGGAATAAAAAAGCTAAAGTTCTCTGCAAAGGTCTATAGGGTCCAAATCATCAGCACTTTGTTATATCACTGATCTCATCCCTTAAACTATCTACAGTGCCTACAACCATGTCTGGTACACAGTAGGTGCCCAAAAAACATATATATTAAATAAATAAATAAACAAACAATCAGTAAATGTATCTTGGAGGTGTAGGCAGAATGGTGTGATGCTAATAGAATGTTCAGGTAAACTATTGTCTTATAGTAAAATGACATAAACACAACCTGTATGTCTCTTCAAATATAGTTTCTGTTTAAAAAAAAAAAGTCTAAAGGACATAGGAGCCAAATTGAAAGAGCTCCCATTGACAAAGCCGGAATAATCCCGGTAAGAAACTAAATACTGATGATAATGGAATCTAACTTAAAGAATATGATAAACATCCATGAGTCCATACTTTTATGAATAAATGATTAAATAATAAATAAACAAATAAATAAATGGGCATAAGGGATGATTTTCCTTACACAAGAATTCCAAATAGTATATACGGATACTCTCCTCCTGAGTGTGGGTTTCACTTAGTGACACACTTGCAAAAAATAATTAAGGGAAAATGGAAACTCTATAGAGGAAAAACAGGCGGGCAGACAGCATTTTATCTGAGAGGCCAAGTTGAATATCACCATGAAAAGTCATGTTGATATCATGTACTCACAGGTACCATGAGATGAAGATGCTTCACCCCTGGGGTAGTCTACCAAAAGTTCACTTCCTCAATCTAAACATGAGAAAACATCAGACAAACACAAACAGAAACAGTACTTAATACTCTTCCAAACTGTCAAACATTTGAAAAATAAGGAAAAATTGAGAGACTGTACCAGATCAAAAGAAGATTTATGGTAACATGACTAAAAAATGCAATGGTGTCCAAATTGTTTCCTGGAACAGAAAAAGAAATTAGTGGAAAAAACGGTGAAAAGATAATAACGTGTGTAGTTTAATTAATAGTGTTGTGCCAATGACACTTTCTGAATTTTGATAAATATACCATGGTTATACAAGATGTTAAAATTAGGGGAAGCTGGGTAAAAAGTACACAAAAACCACTCTGTACCTCCTTTTCAATGTTTTTGTAGAACTATTCCAAAATGCAAAGCATAAAATAAACACACACCTGCACCGACATATAAAATAAGGAATGGAGAAAGAGAAAAAAATGGAAATGAAAAACATTTTAAAGAGCAAACTTTCAGGTTTTCATCTGTGTCAATCACACAACTTAAAAATTTGGGTAGAGAATAAAAATAAAATCCTTAAAAAAGTAAAATAGAAAAAGTTTACAGAAAGATGCGGTGTCAAAAAATGTCTTTATTCTAATTGCATTTATTTATAATAAAGTATAAAGGATGGGGGTTAAGATATTATTGTTCTTTTTTTAAAAAAGATTTTATTTATTTATTTGACAGAGAGAGACACAACGAGAGAGAGGGAACATAAGCAGGGGGAGTGGGAGAGGGAGAAGCAAGCTCCCTGCTGAGCAGAGAGCCTAATGTGGGACTCGATCCCAGGACCCTGGGATCATGACCTGAGCCAAAGGCAGATGCTTAACGACTGAGCCACCCAGGTGCCCCTATTGTTATTTTTTTAAATATTTTTTATTGATTGATTTCAGAGAGAGAGAGAGCACAAAAGCAGGGGGGAGGGTCAGAGGAAGAGGGAGAAACAGATTCCCACCTAAGCAGGGAGCCAATGCAGGGCTCAATCCCAGGACCCTGGGATCATGACTTGAGCTGCATGCAGACATTTAATCAACTCAGTCACCCAGGCACCCCAAGATACTATTTTTCTTTACCCTCATATTTTTCATTTATTTTTTATAGAAAGTTATCCATTTCAGTTCATTTTCTGTTTGAAGTACCATTTCTTCTTAGATTATGTTAAATAATTAAAAGATTTATTTTTTAAAGCTGTTCTAGTTTACAGAACAAAAATACATAATTGAATGCACAGTGTTTCCACATACTCTCTTCCTCCCCCAGGACATAAATCTTTAATTAGTAACATCTTGCATTAGTGTGGAATTTTTGTTAAAACAACTAATATTGGCAGATACTTATTAATTAAAGTCCATAGTTTGTTTTAGAGTTTAGTCTTTGTGTTTTACAGTTGAGTTTTGACAAATGTAGAAAGTCATGTATCCACCTTGATAGTGTCATACAGAATAGTTTCACTGACCTGAAAATGTCCTGTGCTCCAACTTCCCCACTGTTCCCCCCACTCCAAACCCCTGGCAATGACTCATCTTTTTGCTGTCTTCTTTCTCCACCATATCATTAGTTGAAATCATATAGTATGTAGCATTTTCAGAGTGGCTTCTTTCATTTAGAGGTATGCTTTTAAGTTTCCTCCATGCTTTTTCATGGCTTGGGATCTCTCCCTCTCATGTGTATGTGTTTGTGAATAATACCTTTAGTGTAAGGATATATCATAATGTATGTATTCATTTATTTACTGAAGGACATCTTGATTGCTTCTGTAAACATTCATGTTCAGGTTTTTGTGTGAATATAATTTTCAAATTATTGGGATAGATAAGTAGGAGTGTGATTGCTGGATTGAATGGCAGACCTACATTTAGCTTTGTAAGAAACTATCAGACCACCTTCCAAAGTGGTTGTACCATTTTGCCTCCCACCAGCAATAAATGGGAGTTCCTCTTATTCCACATCCTTATCAGAATTTGGTGTTGTCAGTTGATTTTGGCCATTTTAATAGATGTGACATGGTATTCCATTGTTTTAATATGCAATTTTCTAATGACAAATGATGTGAAACATTTTTTGGAGCATATTTCTTATGCTTATTTGCCATCTGTATATTTTCCCTGGTGAGGTGTCTGTTCAGATCTTTTGTCCATTTTGTAATTTTTTTCTTATTGTTAAGTTTTAAGAGTTCTTTGTATAATTTAGATGTAAGTCTTTTATCAGATATGTGTTTTCCAAATATTTTCCTCCAGTCTATCGCTTGTCTTCTCATTCTTTTAATATTACCTTTTGCAGAGCAAAAGTTTTTAATTTCGGTGAGGCCCAGCTTATCTTTTTTTCACTCATGGATCATGCTTTTGGTGTTGTATCTAAAAAGTCATCACCAAACCAAAGATAACCCAGATTTTCTCCTATATTGTCTTCTAGAA